GAGAGAGAGAGAGAGAGAGAGAGAGAGAGAGAGAGAGAGAGAGAGAGAGAGAGAGAGAGTTCCCCACCCCTGCACTCACAGAGAGATAGAGAGGCTACTTCCATCGATACAATGAAGAAAATCGAATTAAATCTTCCGCTAGAACATGGCAAGATTCATTGCAATGTGTGTGTGTGTTTTTTTTTTTTTTTTTTTTTTTTTCCTGGGTTCCCCTGCTCTTGGTCCCCGCTGCTGTCGCGGCGGGCATCCTCTTGTTGTCATTATAGTATTACGGGGAACCCCGTAGTAGCAGCTACATCTATGCTCAAGCCTCCAACGAGGGAACATGCGGGAGCTGCACCCACCAGCAGGTGCGGTACCTGCTACAGCAGGTGGGCGATACCGGCCAGGGGTCAACCGGTAGCATCAGGACCGAGCTTCTTCGATGGGCCAGTCAATGTGCGTCCCCTCATGTCCCCTCCCCCTATGAACATAAGCAGTCTCAATGCCACTTGGGGGGACCAACGACATATCTCTAAGTGGCGGGCGCCAAGCTTGCCCACGATGGTACATGAGGCCAATGGGTATCGAACCCAAGACCTCCTGAATGCCACTTGCGTGCCTTACCAACTGAGCTAGGCCGCTGGATCGTAACCCAGCCTCTACAACAACCAGGGCTTTCTGGAAAAAAAAAAAAAAAAAAAAATGTAGTTAAAAAATAAAATAAAAAAAATCACGACTTGGTTTCTGAGGGCATATTCACACTGCCTAGTAGGGCTTTCCTAGATGTATATGGGCCGCTTTTTCGACTCTTTTCTAACCCGCCCTGGATGCACCTCAACGTAGTTACGCTCCAGAGAAGTGGGAAAAGTCCTAGTGTGCACCTACTGGTTTAAAAAAATTAACATTTGGGGGCTCGGTGACGGGCGCTTGGTAGCGCTCCGCAACGTGCCGCCGGCGGCAAATCCGTCGGCGCTCTCTCGTCATTTCCCTGTAGCTGATGTGGGGGAATGATGTGGCTACCACCTCGCGTCAGTTATTGATGCCAACCATCGCTAAGCGTTTGGGAGGTATAGGAAGCCTGTTGAGAGTCCTTGGAGTGGGCGCAATACCATGTGAATGATGCGAATTGACGTACGCCACTAAGTTGGCGTTCGTCCGGAAGGCGAATCCGAGTGGAAGAGTTACCAACTTGTGATAGGGTCGGAAGGCCCGGAAGAGGGTGGGGCAAGAGCTGCGAGTAAACATGCATTAATAAGTGCTGAAGTTTGTGTAGGAGCCATGTTGTACTATGGAGAGCTATGCACGCGCCTCAGCATGGTGTACACTACCCGCCGCCAAAGGATGGAGAGAAATATATGGTGCACTGTGATGTAGGTCGGAAGCGGCCCTTCTCGTCCGCTGGTGAACTGGTCGGAAGCGGCCCTTCTCGTACGGACTATGTACACTAGTTTTAACGGACAGCGGGTGCAGGATGATGGTAATATCCCTTCCTTTAAGGACATATCTCACCTCTCACATATCTCGAATGGACATATCACATGCTGTTTGTCTGGTAAACTTGAGCCTCAGACTGGACAGTTAGTAGGTACCTCTCGCCTTGCCCTAGAACGTAAGTGGGTCTAGACCGCCGAGTATTTATATAGTGGTGTCCTCAGGTCGATAAGTAAGTAGGCATTCACCTACTCGGTCAGCTAAGTGAATAGTAGTGTTTGGGATCTCGGTTTCCCCCTGTGGCGAGTGAGCATTGCAAGATGAATCTTCCCCCAAATCCGGAGGAGAAACGGATCAGGGAGATGGTTCAGAAATGCATAGAGGATGGGATTTTCCCTGAAGGTTTGGATCACGGTACTTGCGTAATAGATGGTCGGACGACAAAAATGGCGCTCAATTCCAAAATCGATGATGTAGTGGTGAAATGGTTGAAGGAAAGGACCGTTGTTGTCCTTTTCCAAGGGGATTCGAAAGCATTGCCAAACAAAATAAAAGAAATGTTGATTCGAATCTATGAGGATGGTTGGTACGCGAACCCTAATGTGAACCTCTCGCTGAAGCGTGGTAGGATTAAATTCAAAGGAGCGAATGTTTTTTCCTATGTGGCTACTACGAAAGAAACTGCGGATTTCATGGTTCAAAAAGGGTCTGACACAGTTGTGTTTAGAGACCCAAATACACATGGCAGTGAGGACATTCGGTATTCGTTCCAATTTCGTAAATGGTCCACGAAGAAAGAACTGGACGACCTCCGAGCTCAGGAGGCAGCAGGAAAGTTCTGGGTCATGGCGATTAGGGTCTCACTTCGAGCGATGTTCCATTTGCACTGGGCGGTAGAAAACTCTATGGTTAAGATTATCAAGACGTACCCACCCCAGAAAGATAACCACTTCCCTCGACTGATGAATGCCAAATTTGACCTAGCCCCTGAGGCTAGGCAGTCGTGGAAGGACAAACTGGAATTCGAAAAGGATGGGGAATTATTTAAAAATTGGAGTTTGTATCCCAAGCTACGGACTGGTGTAAGAAATGCAAGTGGTTCTATCACACAGAGGATAGCACGACGTGTCCACGTCACCCTCAACATCATACACACTTCCAAGGCACCACATCCACAGCTCACCAAGGGGGAGGAACTCCAACAGGCCATAGAGCCCGGGCAACACCGGCCCCGTCCCAAGCCACACCTACAGCAACATCAGCTTCGATGGGCCAGGGATCACATCCAACTCTCCTGCACCAGCAAACACATATACCATCGCGTTTGGGACCGAATCCAAGTAATTGCCCTGCTCCGGGTCCACTTCACGGCCACTCAAACAGTCAACAGCAGTTACAGCAGTTGCATCCCCCTGTTGCGGGTCCTAGTCGGGGCTCGTTCCCTCAGTATACCACAACACATCAGGGTCATATGCCCTACGACCATATGTCCTCCGTGTTTGGGGGACAACCCGGTTGGCCACCATTCTCCTTTCCAGGGTTTGGAACACAGATGGGCCCGGGGTTATTTAACGGTAAGTTTGCTATGTCTGGGCCAATAATGGGCGGGGGCTCGCCGTCGTTCAGTGGCACCCGGATCAATCCAGTCTTTAAGCCTGAACCACCTCCACCGGGAGTTTCTCCTAACCAGGGTCAGAACAGCTCGCAAGGGCAAACCCTGTCCGCAGGCACCGGACATCAACCTATGGCCAGTCGAACCCCGGCTCCTAAACAGAGCGGGACGCAGCAAGAGGGATCACAGACACACGGCGGAAGCAAAGTGCCCGTGTCCACAGCTACTGGGGCTGCGGGGGGTCGGAGTCAACAGAACGGCAGTGGAGAGCATGTGATAGGTAGTGGTCAGAAGGAGGAAGAAACGCAAAGGAATTCGGAACACCTTTCTTTGAGAGGGACTAGATTCCCAACAAAACAGAGACGCACCCAACAGGAAGGCTTAGCAGAAGAGAAATCATCCAGGTCTTTTGACTTTTCAGACGGAGAATCCTCGGCCTCCTCCATCCTCCCCGCTGCAGAAACTATGTGGAACTTAAACCAGGAACAAGGGAAGGAGCCGGACCTGGGGAACCGGACAGGTATGCCATCCATCTCGAAGGAACAGAACAACGCATCCAAAAAAATTATGTCGGTTATCTGTATACCGGATATGCAAGGGACATTAGTACTGGGCTTCGATATGGGAGATAGAATGGTGGGAATGGCCTCTTTTGCAACCACAACTCCTCCCAATAATGACCAGATCTTAGACTGCGTGAAGGGCCTGTTGAAGAACAGGTTCCCGTCCCCAACGTTACAATGGGGAGGGCAGTCCGGCAACACCCAGCAGGAGTCTGTCATCCGTTATACGTGTCGTTTGTGGACCTACGTTTGCCTTTGGATGCCTTCCCGATGCTGGAATCAGAAGGAGTTGTCTGGGTTCCGGGGAAGTGGTTTGACAAGCCAGACAATCCGAACCTGGTAAACATTCACCTTGAAGATGGGTTACCAGCTGATTTTATCGCAGAATGCAATCAGAAGTTGAAAGGAAGGAGTCTGTCATCAACACCCCGCGAGACGGTGAATGCAGGCAGAAGGAGGAAAGTCCCAGCAACCACTGGGGGTTCTGGTCGAATCCATAAACATTCCGACCAGACCCACCAATCATGAATCAGATTCACCTGATTTCATGGAATGTAAGGGACCTGGGTGACAGTAATGGGCAGATTATTTATGCCTTTTGTTCATTGCGGAGGGATCATGGGCGGTGATGAGTGTGTATGTGCCCTCAGAAAGAAGTGAACGGCTTCACTTTCTAGCAGATCTAGAAGAGGCAATCCCGGATGTAGACAACCTTATTTTGGTAGGGGACTGGAACACAGTCCTAAACCCGGGGTTGGACACACCAACAGCGAAACCAATTCGAACAGATGCAAAAATCCTGATGGCATTAACAGAAAAACTTGGTCTAATCAATGCTTACCGAGTTACCCATCCTAATGAACAGGGTTTTACATGGCATCCAGCGAGGAGGGCACACACAACCCCTGGTCAGGTGATTATGAATCACGGGAGCCAACGTAGAATTGACATGTTATTCGTTTGCGCCGCAGCCTGGGAGTCATTGGTCTCCGTGTCGGTGGAAACATAACTTATGTCATATCACTACCCGTTGTTTGCTCGGTTTGCACCAGGCCCATGTTTCGATAGGGAACGAGGTTACTTCAGACTGAACACGGATAATCTGAATGACCCAGGCATTGCTCAGTGGGTCCGGGATCAAAATGCTGCCTGGCAACTTACGAAAGACCAATTTCCAACAAAAGGGGACAGACTCACTACAGGCCTTAAGATTTTGTCGAAAGGATTGGCTGTACTGTCTATAATAAAGACATACCAAAGGAAGAGTGAGGAACGTACTTGCAAGCAGAAGGTCGAGGAGGCAGAAGCAGAACTCGGAAAACACCCTGTGTCGGATGTGTTTTGGACAAGGGAGAGGATTAGGTGGCTTTCTAAATGGGAGGAAATCCAAATCAGGAAACATAAAATCTGGCAGGAACGCTGTAAAGTAGAGGGCATGGCGAAACTGGACTGTATGTCTAAAGAAACATTTAGATTAATAAATAGACAGTCCACACAACACAGGATGATGAAAGAATCGACACACCCCTTTGATCCGAATTTGCGGAAATGCACAGACACAATTGGGATGTGTAACTATGCCGTCACCTATTTTCAGGATATCCTAACGTCACGCAGACCTCCGGAGGACACAGACTCGGACTTGTCACTGTCATCATCCTTTTGGGACTGTACAGACAAACGGATCCCGATAGAGGGCAGGTTAGCGTTGGACAGACCCATCTCAGCCGAGGAGTTATTGTACATCGCCAATCAGATGGCGAAGGGTGGCCCCGGGTGAAGATGGACTGCCTATAGAATTCTTCCTCTGTTTCTGGACGCTGTTCTGCAATGACTTACTACAGATCTATAATGAAGTCCTGATAGGAGTGAGACTCCCACCTAGCATGACGAAAGGGATTATCGCGCTGTTGTACAAAAAAGGGGACAAAAGCAACATCCGTAACTGGCGACCAATCTCCCTGTTGAACAAAGTGTATAAATTATTGGCAAAAACTTTGGCAATCAGGCTCTCATCACACCTCCCTCACTTAGTGGGGGTTGATCAGGGCGCGTTTGTCAAAGGGAGGTCAATTCTGGACAACGTTGTTACGGTGATCGAGTCAATGGAGATAATTATGGAAGAAGGGTTAGACACGACAGTCCTCCTCCTGGACCTGGAAAAAGCATACGACAGGGTTAGTTGGGCATTTGTCATGACAACCCTCAGACGAATGGGTCTAGGCACGAGTTTTTGTGCATGGGTGAAGATGATGTACTTCCACGCTTCAGCATCCGTGATGATAAACGGTAGGATATCACCCTCTTTCCCGTTGACACACTCTCTCCGTCAAGGTTGTCCACTGGCGCCATGGTTATTTGTACTGCAAATGGATGTGTTGCTGAATCAGGTGAGATGCAATCCATACATAGTCGGACTGAGAACTCGCCACCTTTCGCAATTTAAAGGAAATGCATTAGCGGATGATCTCACCATAGTGTCTAGAAACACAATCCCCTCTCTGACGGCCGTCCGTGAGACACTAGCTGAGTACTGTGATCTGTGTGAGGCTCAAGTTAATTGGTCAAAGGCAGTATTTTTTCTGCCTGATCAGTTTGAGATATGTGTAGACTTTGGGATGAAGAAGATCCCGGCCGATTCGTCGGAAAGAGTTTTAGGGGTACAAGTCTCTCTGCAAAATTGCTCTGAGACACAAGATAAGGTGTTAGTGGGTAAAGTGGAGCAGCGGCTACAAAAATGGAAAACAATCTATGGGCTCTCCCTGTTTGGGTGGGCACTGATTGTGAACGCTGCAGTTTTTTCACAATTGTGGTACACGGGGACAATCAGACCACTGAGCAAGAAGGCAGCTCAATCCATCAGAGTGGCAGCAGCTGGATATATGTGGAAACCTGGGGCTGAGGAGGGACAAGGGCATATGCCAAAACTTGCCTGGGACAAGATTACAGCGACGAAAGAGGAGGGCGGTTTGGCTGTTTTGGACCCGACACGCCAAATCAAGGCACTTCTGGCCAAATGGCCGGTCAAAGCTACAATGGACACAGAGGACCAAAGTTGGGTGGCCTTGGCGGAATACATCTTGGCCAAGGAATGGGATCCGTCTAACGGGGAGGACGTCTGGCGCTTAATGTTGACCCAAGCGTACCAGAGAAGGAAGCTGAAATCAGTCTTTTGGCAAGGAGTTATTCAGGCCTGGCGGACGGTTGCCCCAGCCCTGGTCAGAGAACCAGGGACACGGGACGAAGTGCTGCGCCAGCCTTTGTTCGAGAACGGCCGCATTAAGGACCAAAGAGGGTTAGTGTTCGCAATAGCTGGGAGAGGCAACTATGGGAGAGCGTGGGTGGAAAGGGGTGTGATCAGGATCGGGGACCTGTGGGATGAAGGACGAAAGATATGGAAGACTGCAGAGGAGCTGAGAGATAACCTTGGGAGGCTGTGGCATGTGGAGGAGAGGAGGGAAGCTCTAATACAGGCCATCCCAGTGGAGTGGAAGCAACGGTTGGAGAATGAGACAACCACTGGGAAATGGTATCGTCCGGTCCTTACCATGGGAGAAGATCATCAATTCTTCAAACAGGTGGACAATGGAAAGTTCGAAGTTTGGGAAAGAAACAGAGCAGAAGGCATTCCTCAATGCACAATGGTGTTTAAAGAGGAGCGGGTAATTGGTAATCCGGGACTGATGGAAGAAGTCAGGGTTTTTGTGCATTTCTCAGCAGGTGGTCCACCTCAGCCTGTGTTACATCTGGACGGCACTCCCATCAGATCTATGCGGCTTGATATCAGACTATATGGATGGTCGAAGGTTAGGGGACAACCGTTCATCAGTCAGTATACCCCTAAGCTGGGCATGGGGATTCAGAGATTGGAAGGCAGTAATTCTTGTAAGATTCAGGAAACCATTCCCGAATCTCTCACAGGTTCAAATCTGTCGGTGGAATACTAAAAGGAAAGGTGGAAGATTTGTCTGAGACTGCCAGACAAGAGAGCAGCTTCAATTGCATGGTTAATAACCCATGCGGCTCCATTGGATGCAGTGGCACTGTTCAGACGAGGTATGGAGGTGGATGTAAGCTGTACCAGATGTCATCGACAGCCCGAGGATGCGTTGCATTTATGGGGCACATGCCCTCTCTCACTTAGGCTGTGGAGGTGGTGGGCACATCACTGGAAGGAACTGGGCGGACCGGCTGAAGTGGTATGGGACCTGGAATGGGCAATAACGGGACAACTGAGAGACCCGTTGGAAAGTGGGAAGGGGTGGGGGTATGTGGCGACGGCGATTCGAATCCTAGTGATCTGGTGGATCTGGAAGGAAAGAAACTCAGTTCTGTTCCAAGGCAAATATTTTTCGGATGCTGCATTGAAGGGTGGTATGAAAGCCTCACTTCGACATATGGTCAAGGTGGATTGGAGGAAGAAAGTCTTGTCACTAGCTGAACCAGGACGGCACAGAGCAAGACTGTGGTTCTTGCGCTCATGGGCCAAGAACAATCGCCTGGTAGCAGTCTCAGCTGCAACAGGGAGGCTCGTTTTATCTCCGTGGCTACGAGCAGAGTAATTGTCAAAGGGGGGGAAGGATAATGGGTTGGATTGCTGGGTTGGAAAGGGGGAGTGGGTAGAGTTAAAACTGGCGGTACTTCCGGGGTAAATATAGTCAATATTAAACAATGGGACCAGAGTAGTTAACATAGTAGTCCGGGGTTGGTAATGATGGGTAATAGTGGATGGGTACGGGGAATAAGGATGGCGAGATGCAGGGCCTGAATGCAGGCTCAAGGACAAGGCGGAACCAACCTGCTACTCGGTGGCTCTATTTGCCTTGTGGGACTAGATTAGGCCCCGACCCGCAATAGGGTTGTTTGGGGGCCGCCCTGTGTGAGTGGAGGCCGGAAGAGTTACGACTCAGTCTTGTCTGCCAGGTTGGTCTGGCTAGGACTTAGTTTGCATTTGCTCTGCCCAGGTTGGTCTGGCAGTACAGAACATGTGTCCGTCACCGGGTTGAAATGTGAGGTCCCCGGCCTCTTCTTTTGGTGATATAATGAATGAGGTTATACAGGAAAAAAAAAAAAAAAAAAAAAAACCGAAAAAGGGGACAAGCTCGAAACGCTGTGAACAAAAAAGAAAAAAAAAGAAAAAAGCTGTGAACCAACTAGATGTGCACATACTGTATTCATAGAGTCCTGGTAACATAGACCTTGGTTATTGCCGGAGCTGTCTTTCCAGGTCAGTTGTCTTCCGCCTTCTTCCTCCTCCTATTCTTCTCTTCGTTTCGACCCCCTCCTACTCCTCTTCTTCTCCTTCTCCTCATCTTCATTTCCTCCTCCTCCTCCGCCTTTTCTTTCACCTTCTTCTCTTCTCGTCCTCCTCCTCTTCGTACGCGTGCTGAATACAGTGAACATGCATTTCTTGTATGTTGATCGTTGAATCTATGAAAGCGTGTTGGGAAGCAAGTTGGACATTGCTTGTCACTATTCTGTTCTCGTCCTCCCTCTCCTCCTGCTCCTCCTCCTCCTCCTGGAGGGGATAGGAGGCGCGTAGGAGGAAGCGCCAGATGAGGAGGAAAAGAAGAGGAAGAGGAGGAGGAGGAGGAGCAGGAGCAGGAGCAGGAGGAGAAGAATAGGAAGCAACCAGGTAGATGCCGAGGGTGATGTGAAAAGTCCACCATCTCCTCCTCCTCCTCCTCCTTCATGTCTTCCTCCCCCTCCTCCTCCTTTTCTTCTCCTCCTCCACCTCCTCTTCTTCTTGTCCTCCGCCTCCTCTTGTTGTTGAAGCAGGGAGCGGAGGAGGGGGGATTGAGGAGGACAGGGAACTGGCGTATGGCGTGAGTGAGTTTTGATTGACATGAAGGGCTGGGGCAGGAGGAGATCAGAAGGATTAACGCAGCGGGAATGATAAGATTTGATTTAGGAGTTGATGAGCGACAGTTTTATGAGTGAGTTTTATGAGTGTATCTCTTCCTTCTCCTCCTCCTCCACCTTCTCCAGCCCCCCGCCCCACTCTCCCCAACAGATCTGGCTCCCGATGAGGGGTCTCTCTCTCTCTCTCTCTCTCTCTCTCACACACACACACACACACACACACACACCCACACCCACA